GAGATGAATTAATTCATATTCATATTTATTTTGAACTACAGTAACATCTTCTGATTTCTCTCAACATGGGGACAGGAGAGCTGTCAATCAATAAATTGGAGGAAAAAAAGTAACTTGCATTACTTATTTGAAAAAGTAACTCAGATATTCTCTTGTAAATTAAAAAGTAATGCGTTACTTTACTAGTTACTTGAAAAAAAGTAATCTGATTACGTAACTTGCGTTACTTGTAATGCGTTACCCCCAACACTGGAGATGAAGACCTTTATTGAGTTCAACAGCTGATGTGCAGCTTAGGTAAACTCATTCTCCGACCAAAGAGTACACGAAAGCATTAAAACACCACGACTTTACAATGTTTTGGACATTATAAACAACATGCTACTAGAATCATGTAAAAAGTCAGTGCCAAGGTGAAGTACCGCAGTATTACTATCTATATGTATCCTAACATATTACTGCCACAAGTAGGCTTTTTTAAACAACATTTTGAGTAATAGGTTTAAGGTTGTTTGTATTATATCACTATTAGAAAACATTTTGTGGTCATTATAGAACTGATACCATGATACCAAGCTCAAATTTAGCGAAAGTATACTTTTATATACTAGAAAGTGGGCCAATTTAGTCCCAAGGAGTATTGAAATAGTACACTTACAAGTATACTACTAGTACACTGATATTTGTATACTTGCTACATAAAATATACTTGAACTTTACTTAAGTATACTTAATAAAATAAACTTGAAGTATACTACTTTTTGGTAAGGGTATGGAGACACCTGGACTCAGAATGTGTCTTAGATAGACCATAAACAATACAAGTGCAGCAAATGTTGCCTCGAAATTCAAAATGTTGTCGTTTACTTTAGTGTAGATGAAACCAGGAAAATCCTCCTAAAGTGTCATATTAACTTACTGTTTACAGACAAGAGCGAGTTTTCTTCATACAAATCTTGATTGTCATTTTCTTTTTTCTTCATACAAATCTTGATTGTCATTTTCTTGTCTCATACTGAGTAAAATCCTAACTTGTCTATTGTCAAGTCATGTAAATGCAAGAATCAATATGAGGAGCCAGTCTGTTTTTGTTTTGGTTAATTTCATCTTTAAACCTGGGCTGTCCCATGAAGCAACAAAAAAAAAAAAAAACATGAAAAAAAAAAAAAAAATTTCTCACAATTCACAAGTTTGGTCACACAATTCTCGCTATATGTTTTCTTTATCAGCTGATCGTTGATAAAGTTGACCGTGAGTTTATGATTAGCTCTACAGTCTGTCAGCATAAAAGTGTGAACAGCCATTCACATAAAACATAAAGTCAGCGAGATTCACTTCCCTTCTGAAGGACAACAGATCATTATGAATATATGAATGATTTAAACACATTTACAAAATAAGAGGAAACACTGCTGCAGTGAAAGCTCAATAGGACTGCTGAAAGAAAGCATCTGAATATATATGATCTGAATGTGAATTTATTAATTTATCATTTATGTAGGTCAACAGTGATCTTAAAAATGTGTACGCTTTGCCATTTTAAAAGCTTTATATCTTAAATCTAATTCTGTATTTTAATATATTGATATTAATCTTTAATTATTTATATTAATAATTACATTTAAAGTTTACTATTACTTGTCAAAATAGTAATGCTCATGTAATGCATTAAGGGTTTGTAAAGTAACATTGATCACTAGGTTTATAGACTTCTAGATGATATTTAAATTATTTTTATTTTAACAAAGCATAAGCCACAGGGATATTTGAACTGATTCCACAGTATTTGATCGTGATATTTTTAGTGATGGAGGAGTGTGATTGGTGAGATTTTATGTAAGTTTCATACTTTCTGTATTATGTTTATTTGCAGTTAAATCTCCAGATGTGAACATCTGATCTGCACCGCTGGTTAAAATCACAACATCAACATGATTTGAATTATTTGCAGTAAAACTGCATTGGTTTGTCTGCAGAGCTGCAGAGGAAGTAAGTGGACATTTAGCAGACGTCTTTATCCAGAGCGACTGCAGACTGTTACAGTGAGTGCCTTTGTTCATTTGTCCAGCTGATGTTTAGTAGATGATAGCAGCTGTTCTAAAGTAAAATCTTCAATATTTTCAACTCAAATGGTTAAAGATTAAGAGTCATTATGTATTATAGTGAATTTGACAGTCAAGACATTTCATAACAAGTAAATGAGATCTAAACAAAGAGTTAAGATTAAACTTAAAACATATTAAGTATTTAATTTTTCAAAAATTCATAACAGGAAAATTCTGTAATTTTTGTTTTTATTTGTGCAAAATCATGCAAAAAGTGTCAATATATACATGTTTTGTTTTTGGTATTTACATACATAAAATGGCCTTAATAGGACAAATGAATTAGTAATTTCATTGATTCATTAAATAATAAAAAATAAACACAATACATCACATGAGATGTTGTGGAAATTACATTGTAATGTACAATGGTAAAGAAACTATTAATATGTTTTAAATATTAACTTAAGAATAAAATCAACATTTGCTCTGGTTTTGACCAAAAGTCTGTCGGTGTCTTTTGTGATTTAGTCACTATAACTGGCTTCAAAGTACTGTATATAAACAAAGAAGATCCCAACAATAAAGTGCTATGATTTCTTAAAATGCTAAGACCAAATTCACCACAAACCGTAATAAAAACAAAATGGAAGAAGAACCAATAAATACACAACATAATGGAAAAACCAGGACAAAAACAACAAACATCACCGTTTCACTCTTTAAATGGAAATATGCTATTGTAAATCCTAATATTAGCAGGATTACTGACATCTTCACACCGAACAGAGCAAATACAGTCGTAAACCCCACTGAGAGTGTCACTCCAAATGAAAAAAACAAGAAAAAAATAAGTACAAAGAATAAAATTAACTGCAAAGGTGTCTGAACATACTTTTGATCCGGTACAGTGAAATGAACGGTTAATAAATAAGCCCCAAATGTGATCCCAGGAGCAGCACGGCAAGCTATGAGCACATCTGACCACGTCTGTATACTGACAACTGTTCCTACAGTCAGTCCTAGACCTAATATAATCACTGTACTAGAATATGAAAGTAAAATGACTAAAACTTTTAATATTTTATGTTTACGCAATAAATTTACTGAGTAAGCTAATGAAACTGCAATAGTAAATGTTGAGGATAGAATCAAATTTATTGGTACAGCAACATTTGGACTCATATTATTTCTTAATGTGACCATGAAAATAACAAGTATGCATATTATTGCTCCAAAATTACAAAGTTCATGTTTTCCTTTAGTGAAAATAACAGCAGCATTCAGTGCAATGAAGAAAATCCATCCTACAATTCCAACAACTCCTCCGAAAGTGTCATATATTAGAGGCAAGACTGGATTTTCTTCATTTACATTTTGACTGGTCTCTTCTTTAAGTTTGTTCTCTATTTCTTGTAGTGTTTGTACTACAAGAGTATCTTGTCTCAATACTAAGTAAAATTTGTCACTATTGAGCCAAACTAACTTGTCTATTTCCGCTACGAGAGCTGCTCTTTGAGCAGGTTTTGCTTCAGAGTCTCTTATGATGTGAAATCTTCCTCCACATGCGTTGATCATTTCTCCAGCAATCCCTCTGGACGCTCCTGTGAAACGTTCCTGGTGATTTTGGAGCAGAAGAACAATGCAGTACTGCAGGACTTCTGCTCCCAGCAGCTCCTGGGCTCGTTTCACAATATCACACTGTTGTGATTGTTGATCTACCAGATTCAGGAGCATTAAAACGGCGTGAGGTCCAGGAGACGAGAGAAACAGCGCTGTTGTGAAGGTCTGTCTCGCTGTGTCCTCCTCACAGAGGTTTGGTCCAGTGACCAGCATCATTCTACGAGCCTCGTCTGTAATTACTGGAGTCTTTACAATCTCTCTGTCCTCCTGTCCACCGTCTTTCCTTCCTGACAGAAGATCTGCAGCGCTGAATCTGGACTGACCTCGGCTTCCCACCATCAGGATCCTCACCTCATCATCGTGAGAAGCTGGAAGAGAAAGGTAAAGATTAAAGGGGTCATATGATGCTATTTTAAAGATAATTATTTTGTGTATTTGGTGTAACAGAATATGTTGACATGCTTTAATGTTCAAAAAACACATTATTTTTCAAATACTGTACATTATTGTAGGTCCTCTATGCCCCGCCTCTCCCAAACACGTCGTTTTCAACAAAGCCCCCTCCTTTGACAAGCGCAGTCTGCTCTGATTGGCCAGCTGACCCAGTGCATTGTGACTGGACGAACACCGCAAGCACTCGTCGGAAATGTAACGCCCCTTACCATAATCCCGAGCTTCATCTTTCAAAATAAATGTAAAGACAGTAAATAATG